TAGCTCACAATAAACAAGTTTATAAATAGCCGCCTTTTAAAAAGCCTAGAATCAACCTGTTGCTGTACAGCCATTTTGGTTAGAAATAGACAGATTTATAAGGATGAAAAGTTGGGAGGGAAGATGATTGCTCTTATGTATTGTATAATAAAATCAGAATTCAATAGCTTAATAATAATAATAAAAAAAAAAAAAAAACAGTCCTCGTTATAATAATAAATAGTTGTACATCTACAACAAGCTCCGCGTTATGAATTGTGAATATAGCTAATTGCTGCCCCCTTCTTTTTTTTTTTAATTGTTACTAGATGTAGATACTATATTTTATTCATTACTACTTCTCTTTTTAAAGAATCCATTCTGAGGGGCTATACAGTACTATAAAAAAGTATTATTATTTGGTTTATTTGGTTGGTAATAATAATAGTAATTTGTTATTAAATCTTGTTCATATATAGCTTTCTTTTTTGAAAAATGAAAACGAATTAGTTATATACTAGCTATTATGAGAGGATATGTTATGACCCTAATAGGCTACATAGAGAAGCCTCAACTTGAGAAGCCAATGTATTGGCATAAAAAGTTCACATGTTTATGCAATTTTTTTTTTTTTTTCATATATGAACGGTTGACTTATATAGGTATAATTGCTATAACATGAAATAAGTAAAAAACGAGCATTAATAAATGAGAACGAAAAAGAAAAGTTGAAAGGAATGAGAGCCGCAGCGACGGGGGGCGAGTATATATCACCTATATATTATATACAATTAAGAACAAATAGCAAATAGCTAGGAAACACATTTTAGCAACAATTTAAAAATTAAATTTATATTATAAGTCTACTATTTTAATCAGATCATATATGTGACATTTGACTTATAACGTACATAGTTATACTTAGTGAATGATCGAATTATCTATTTTTAAATAAAAAATTGATAATAAGTGAAAGAATAAATATAAGAACTGTTTCTTTGGAGACGTATAAACATTCAACACTGATTGGACGTTTGTTTTTTCTTCTTCTACTAAAAAAAACATCAGACGCGGTTATTTAGGCAGGAAATTCACTGGGCTAAATAAATGAACAATTAGTTAATTAGTTAACGCAATAGATTAACTAATTAGTTAGTTCAAACAGAAGAAATAGTCAGCAATCGTGTTTGTGGACTTCACCCAAATTGCCATAATTGGCACGGTATTAATGTAGAAGTATGGGAAAAAATGAATCCTTTTTTTCTATAGTGCAAGCACTGTTTTAACAACACTTTTTTATGTGTTATGCAGAACTCATTATAATGTATAGCTATTAAAAATGTTTGCTTAGTGCTAGAGAAATCTACTGTGGCATTTTAGAGGAGAAATTCACATTGTTTGGTGAAATTATTTAAATAAAAATGAAATTTTTAGGTCTCATAATTTTAACCTTAATCCGCAATATATATATTTTCGGCTATATCCAAATAGAAACTGTGGAAAAGATGTAAATACTTCCTTTCCTTTAATTTAGTTAAATGTATAAAAAATAGCATGGTCCTTTAAATTAGAAAAGCAACCTTTTGAAAATACACTTGGACTGTTTTGTTACGTAAGGGTTATCATATATATTTCGCGAATTATAATTACGTAATGATCTAATTTGTAATATAAATTAATGGCAGATTTTTTTTCTATTACATAAGAATAAACTTGTTTTACAATTAAGAATTATTTTACCACCCACGGTGCGGTAAATTATTATTAGTGCATTCACAACACGCCCCTTTCTTAATCTTCTGCAATTCTTGCTTTATAGGGGAATTTTTCCCCCTAAGTAATTTTTTTTACGATTTTAGTGGAAGTTCCAAAATTGCAACTATAACACAGCACAACACGTTGCCCCTTTTGAAATTCAAAATTTTATGCTGAATTTTTCTTATTTCCCTCTTTTTAAAACAAGTGATAAACTGAGCTAGGGGAACTTCTTATTAAAGTGAAATATAGCACAACGCTTTTTATAGAAAAACATTGCTAAATGTACGCAAAATAATAACATTAAAATAGAGAAGTATTTATTCTATGTAATTTACGTATTCCAGGTCAAAAAGCGCTGATAAAAATGGAACGGAAAATTAAGTAGAATTTTCCACTTCCAGTTTTAAATAAAACTTCGTAAAAGATATACATCACTTATTATTTTTTTAGAAGAGAAAAATAATATCACTATGAATGATAAATTTCTATCGCGGTAATTGAAAAAAAAAAAAAATTCTATTTTTAGCTTATAAAAATATGTGTTGATGTTTACAAAGAACAGGTTTAATTCTAATCATAATCTCACGTATCAATGATGTTTTTCGTGAGGAAAAAAAATAATAATAAAATCATTCATTAAATACTTCTTCCCTTCAAAAAATTCATACACACTGAAACAAAAAAAATGATAAGTAATTATAAGAATAATGATAATAGTTCAAATAAGTGTTAATACATTCCACGAATGTTTATTTGTTAGGAAGAATAATGTTACATTAAAAAATACTTTTTTAATCTGAAAAAAAATTCATAATAAATTTAGAATTATCTGGAAAAGGTGTAGAATTCTTTTCCTTCAATATATATATCTACTATACATAAAGACAATATCTGTACAAAAATTTCAATGCTTTCTTTCAGCAATCAATTTTTAAGACATTTCTATATCCTCTGTTGAGTCATCCATGCTCTCTCTAGAATAAGGAATGTCTTCTTCTTCGTCATCTACTTCGCCTTTTACTCGTTGTAGGAATTCTCTTCGGGATCGTTCTGGAAATTCTTCACGGAATCTTGTAACTCTTCTGTAGCACTTTAAGTATTTGTAAGCAAGATAAATTAAAGTGAGTGCAGCTGCTAGTCCAAAGAAGGTAGCCAATAGTGGCACGGCAAAGAATTTTTTGTAAAAGTATGATATTAATGCAAATATCAAGACTGGGGAAAGTACTTTATACTTATATAAAAATTTCTTTAACCTTGTTGTCATATTTATACCTTCTGCACCTACCTTAGGGATAACATAATCTTTCGATTTTAATATATTGTATATTTCTCGTTCTGCTATTTTATCAATGGTTCTTAGGGCATTTTTAATTTTTCTCGATAGACGTTTTCTAAAATTTCTGCATTTGAAACTTAACCTAAAAGCATCATAGTCTGTTATTCTACCAAGATGATAACTTAATTGAGCTTTAGGATCTATATTGTTAATAATTTCACCTATTGTTGGTTTAGGTTGTTTATTATTATTAATGTCATCTTCCATCATGGCAAAGTAATCTTGGGTCAAGGCATCATATCGATCTTTGTCATAATCTTCATCATCATCATTTCTGCCAGATTTTCTTACGCCTTCCTTTTCTCCAGCGCTTTTGTGTTCACCAAGACATCGAATAGCTCTAATATCTGATATATGGACTTGGCTGTTTTTTCCCCATGATTCAGCAAAAGAAACAGCTGACTGGAAAATGAAATAAGGTCAGAAAATTGAAAGATGTATTTTACTGTAACATTTTACATATATTCATTTCAGTACTAAAATGCAAATGTGGTGCATTTATATATGCTACGAAGCAGAAATATTAATAATTGCTTAATAGTGACTTTATTTATTATATCTCACGTTATTAGAATAACTCCACGAGTTATTTCCAAGGATAATTGTGATAATATTAATAAGAAGGCTGAACTTAGTCATTTCTCCCTAAATTGACTCATGAATAAATTTAATAACTACTATTTTGGAAAGTTATTTATAAGGTAAAATTGATGACGGTATTTCAAGTATGACATTTTACTTATTTATATTCAGTCATATTTATGTAATTATTTATGTACAATAATAATTTATATTTTTCTTATTTCCCAAACTTATAAGATACCTTTTTCTTTATATAATTTTTAAAAAATGGTAATTATTCATTTAATTCCAATGGACCAGAAGAAGAATTTTTTTATAATGTAATAATTTTTTTAATAATATTCTTTTATTACTCATAAAAGTGTATATTTTATGTTGGAAGTGAACAAAATAATTACTTTTTATCAAAATATAATTTATTTATAAAATTACTTAATCACGGTTTTAAATAAAAAAATGAGAAACTTTATAATTATTTAAGTAAAAATAATTTACATTTAAAAATATTATTTAAGAAAAATAAACGTTAATATAATTTTATTACTTACTATTGTTACATTTTTTTAAATGCAAAAATTCGTGTAAGCGGAATTTCATTATTTATAGTAACATAATTAGAAAGAAATGAATTAAATCTAAAATAGAACAACAACATTGTTTTTTTACTAATTCTCCAAGCTAAGCAGGTAATTACGTTATCGGCATTAAATGTATTTCTTTAAAAACGTGAAGCAATGAAGTGAAGATGAAAGAAAGAGAATTGTAAAATGAAGATATATATTATTATATTATAATAATACAGCAATTTTAAATATTATGTAATATTATATGAAAATGAATATGAAATAAAAGCAATCCTTTTATCAGAAGCAATTAAATTATTTCGTGTCACTATTCTATATTAAAATAATGCAAATTCTGCGATATTTCCTTTTAATGCTAATAATTAATTTCTTCAATGGCGTTTTATTGTGGCATAAATGAATTCTTTACTATCTTTAGGCTAAAAAAATAATCATTCCTGCATGGACATATTCTAGAGTATTCCTAAATAAGTTATACTTTTTTTGATGTTTCTATTTATATGCAGAGTTGTTTTAGTTGATGTAATAAAATTACATGCAATTTTTGATATTTTGACGAAATCATTGAAGTGGGGTTATACCGTTTACCTACCCTATGGGCATCTGTTCAATAATTTGTTAATCATTTCTACGCGCACATTTGGCTTGTCATTATAGCATAATTTAGGAGAAAAAGGGCATGTATATAAAAATATACTATTACAAAAAAGTATTTCAATTTATGAATAAAATATTCCTTGTTTGTGCTGCAAAGTAAAATAAGAGACTACTTTTAATTCTGTTGACCTCCAAAATCGTGTAATTCTAATGCAATTCAATATAAATGGCTGGTGACGTATGAATCAATAAACAGACTAATATTTTTATATGGTCCTATCATATACCGTGAATCATGTCAAGTACAATATACTATAACAATAAATAAAAGAATCCCATGGTGACACTACGTTTCTCATTACATTTGCTGATTTGTAAGCAGGAAGTATCAAATACAGTAGTATATTATTTATGTATGGGAATTCTATTTTATTCTATTCGTTAGGTATGCGAATGGATGATAGTAAAAAATTCTAGAAATGTCACATGATGGTTGTTAGAGGCAAAAAAATCATTAATTGCGTGGAATTTACCTTCCTTTTTATTACACTTTTGGGTATATTGATGCGAAGTTTCGCTGTCCACAAATTTAAGAATAATTATAAGAGCGAACAAAAGCATGTACGTTTATTTATATGTATTTATGTATATGAATTTAAGGTTTCAAAAAGCATGCAATTTCGAAAAATAATAAGATATGTTTCACATTTTAGAGGCGTTCTCAATGTACGAAATAATTACTTGAGTACTGAATTTTGTTACAAAGAAGTAAATAAATCATGAATATAAGTCTCTACCTAGAATAGCATAAAAAAGGTACATGTAGGTCATCCTGTGTACTGTTACTAAATTCTCTCCTTTCGTTAAGTCGTTTATTCGGTCCAACCTATTGTGGGCCTAGTAATAATGATGAGTTTATTAGCATGTCTTACGTTCGTATATTTCATAAAGTTCACTAGACATATAAAAATGGTAGACTCAAAGATGTATGTGATAGCACCTCTAAATGGAAAGCAGCGTATCACGCGTATTAAACATATTCCCACTACTTCGACGCCTCTTTATTGCACCTTACGGGGATGAACTATAGTATTTTATTCGTAATAAAAGGAGGTTCGTTTTTTTTGTCCTCAAATTGTACATGGTGGACATGTACTTTTAATTAAACCGATAGGCTACATAACGATGGTGTTTTGTGTGATGCCATATTGTTACCAACAGTGTGACATCCCATTGGGAACAATTTTTTAATGAATCATCGTATTTGATTTCTTAGTTAATGTAAAAAGAAAAAGAATTCTTTATAATATGCACGTGTTTAACCTTTGCGAAAAAGGCTATTACATTAAGGAGAAAAACATAATAAAATAATATAATAATAAAATACGTAATTCGCTTATAAAGACCTTTGGATGTCAATATACAATTTAATATGGCCTATTAAAGGCAATATGAATAAGGTTACATTAAATTTGCACTTGGCCGTTAAAAGAATTGTAGAAAAACAGAGGCATACACTTTAATAATATTGTGTGTAAAATGATGAGAACATGATATATAAGAAGGGAACGTTTTAAATCTGTGATTTTCACTTGCTGTTCTTGGGTTATTATATGAATAAGAATGGATAGGAGAAATGAAAGGGTGGGTTATGGTAAAGTAGTAATGTCTTTTTAGCTGTTTCATACAATTGAGGAGGCTTGAAGTTTTAGGTAGGAATCATATATACTAATCGGTTTTTTGGTATACTTTGTTAATTCATAATGAATTTTTTCTGAGCCATTTTTTAGAGACTAGTGTCTACCAACTGATTCTTACGAATCTACAGAGTATATGGCGAATTCTTTCATTTTCTCACAAGAATACTAATTTTGTTGACTGTTTACGATATTTTTCAGAGTTACGTTTTTTTTTCCAAGAAAATCATAGATTAAGTTAAAATATAAGTTAAGGATAGTATATAAGTAATGCACAAGGTGTACAAATTTCTAGAAAAATGTGATATTACGGAATTTACACTTATATATAAAATATTTTCTAATTAGAAGCAAATTTGTCAATAAAATAATATTTTTCAAATAACGAAACCTGCTAAGGCAGACAATAGTGGAATCGACAGCGCAAACCAGGTGATTATAGAATGTATGAATAATTAATGTATAGACATAGTTTAGAAAAAACCTCTAAAAATTGCTTCTGAGAAGAGAGTATACATACGTAGGAATTACTTTTCCACTTGTTGTACATTCGGTACGCTAATGAGTGCCTTTTTTTCTATAAGAGTAATTCTTCCTTTGTACGCGTTTGTAAACAATTAAAGTGTTCATGCGCTTATTCCTGGCAAAGGAATTCTGCCCATTCATTCAGAACTTGTGTCTAACATTATCCGATATGCTTAATTTATCGTGAGATAATTATGTGTATGTATATATATTTTTTTGTTGACCGATCCAAGTATTGTACTGTTTCGTTTTTACACTGGTCTCCTTGCTTATCATTTTTTCCAATTTTCCTTATGTCTAAGTTATATTGTGTTTTCCGCCAATTTTGTTCATTTACTTTTCTGTCGGTATGTGCTTCATACAAGGGCTTTCTTTCATTATAGCAAATGTCCTGTTATTTTTTCTTTTTTTTTTTTTTTATCTAAATAATTCTTTCATGTGTGAACAGTCAAGAAGATTCATTTTTGTAAGTGGGAGTTAATATCGATAAAAATGTTCTGCGTCGGCATTTAAATGCACTTCAAAACTTATAGTGCTATATTATACCTCTTGTTAATAGGATCCTTCATTAGAAACTTTCGCTTCTACAATTTTCATTACGATGATTTTTCCCATATAACATCAATAAAGTCTATTTACTTTTCGATTTAGGGGGTTTTGCTCTCTAAGATCGGCTGTTTTCTATTCCTTTTATGGTATTTTCCCGTTTGTTATTCAATGGATCGGGGGAATAGTATTTCAAGGATATTCAATTCTACATCCATACGTTATGTGTCATTTCTGCCTCGTTCATGGCCCTTATTTTTTCAATTTCTTCATCAGTTTTTCCTCTTTGCAATTTTTCTTCTTCAAGTATATCTCTTGGATTCTAAAACGATTAGCAATGAAAGAAAATAGGATTAACAAGAACGGTTTGCATGTGCATATACATATTTATTTCTTTCTAATAAATTACTAACTGGTGAACACGAGTGTACAACGTTTATGCATCTTTATGTTTGTATATATTTTGTGTATAATTTTCATATTACCAAATAGGAGCTCTCAAAATAATGATTTGCCAGGAGCATGGAAAATACAACCAAACATAAGGTTAAGGTAAGAGTGAAGGTATTAACTTTTGAAAATATGGTACACCCACAAGTACCACGCTTTGGAACTAAACTTCTCAAAAATTGACCTAGCGGACTTCCAAGAAATTCGTCTATTAGATGCATTTTTTATATTTATGAATATGATTTAAAAAAAGGAAAAATAATAATAACAAATAAGAGGTATTAATTAGATGTAAAGGAAATGGCAAATCTGTGCTAAAATTTTGTTACATTAATAGGAGCAATGTATATTTTATAATTTTCTATATGGAGAAAATAAATGAACAAATTAAAGATCAGGTAAAAAAAATAAAGAACAATCATGTAATGAAGAATAATTTGAAAATAAAATATTATTTTTTTATAGCTATTAAAAATATTGCAGTAATCTTACAAAATTCAATTAAAAAAATAACATAAAGAAAAAAAGATACAAAGAAGAAACGCTTATAAAATGAAGATTTCTACGAATTTTTATTTTGTGAGACTTTTTTATTTAAAACCACGTTATCATTATGCAAATTATATTAAATAAATATCATAATCAGTGCAACATATTTTTTCTATATAAAATTATTCGTAATAATATTGCAATTTTGCATGCATATAAAAAGAGAGAAATTTACAATATGTTTCTATTATAAAATTTTTCCTTTTCTCCATTTGTTTTAAAATTAATTCTCTTTTTTTCTTAAGGAAAGACTAATTATAAAAATAACTCAGGAAAGAAGCACCGAGGGTAAAACAATAATTCGACCGAGTAGTATAAGAAACATATCAATTCTTGTAAAATAACTTTTCGTAATTGTAAAAATGGATATTTAATTTTTATTGCTTCATTGCGCAGATATTCTTAATTTATTTTAGGGAAAGAGGAGGGCAACTTTTTCTGGACAAACAGTGTGGAGAATATTTGGTTATAACGGGGCAGTCGCATCATTTTTCCAACAAAGAGTCATCATTGTTTTATAAATTTGTTAGAATGGTTTAAACCTTTCTACAATTGTATGTATATACATATGTATGTATATATATATAGAACTGATTACGTTGCGTCATCATAAAAATGCATTTAAGTCCATGAGGAATAATGACGAAAGATGAAAAATATAGAAAGAAAAAATGCTAGTTAGCTCACGGGCGGAAACGAAATTTTTTATAAACCCTTTTTATAATAAACTTCTTCGTCAACTTTCCCTTATTTTATCTTATTTTAATTTGTCCTGAAGACACTTCGCTTGTGTTAGGCTATAGACGTGCGCGCTCTTATAAAGTTGGCGTTATTAAATACTGTATGTCTGTTCAATTCATTTATTTTGACTTCTTCGTAGTAATCGCATTATTCCTTAAAGAAGAAGTAACAAAATGGGGCATGACCCAATGTATACGTGGACTGTATGCTGAGTTGTGCTCCAGTGACGAATAAGAAGAATATACTTATAAAAAAAAGGAATTCCTGTTGTGTTGAAGTTATAATGATAAATCATCAATGCAGAAGTTAAATCCGCTACTTTAATGTTATTAATAGGTAATACTTTGTGCAGTAAATCAGGCGTCTTCAGGCTTCTAATAATGTAATGTCGAATAACTTTAAATAAATGAACCATTCTCCTGTTGGCAACCGTTAACTTGTAGCATTTTTTTAAAAGTAAAAAATTAAATTCTGTATGAAGTACAATGAGTATTTGATCACTCGAAATTGTCTTTATAATGACTATTTGATGCATGAACAATGTTTAAAAGGGCGCTCAAAGAAATTAACAAGCGCATCCGATTGTATTGTGATGGATGTATAGTTTGTATTTAACAAGTAGTACACATATATATATACCTATACACGTTAGATCAATACAGCATAAGTGCATTCGAATGTAAAGCGCAGATACTAGAGGGTTGTTATGAAAACAGACGTCCATTTAAGGTGCACACATAATGATGATTGTATGGTGGGTATATTTTTAATAGCTGCAAGATGTTGATGCTGTGCTAGCATTACATTGTCCATGTAGAATTATGAGTACGGTACTCTGCACATTTCAACGCGTCCCATTTGTGTTCTCCTTCGTTTAAATCCGATAACAGTTATTTATAATCGTCCTTAAACAGGAATGAACTTATAATTAAAAAAAAAATAGGCAATCATATCTGCCTGTAATATCTGGAAAAATATGAACGCACCGTGTGCTTCCGTAGTAATTCTGTTGAAGAGTGAACAAAGGAACAATAAAATTCATCTTAAAATGAATAGTAAAATGGAATGGAAAAAATAGAATCTCATGAATTGTAATATAGAAAAATAGGCATATAGCGTTACTACGCAAAAAGTGTATTGGTTGGGCCTCTTAAAAATTTAAGCATAGCTTATGCACCTGAATACGCGAATAAAGCTTAAAACTTTGCTTCATCGACTATATGTGTTATGTTAAAGTTTACTTCAAAGTGTTAAATCCAAATTGTAACAATAAGAAAAACCGTTTAACTACCTCATTACACATTTAGTTTTACGAAACTTCGATAAAATCAAGCGTCTTGTTAAAGCAAAAAGAGGGTTATGAGCGCGAAGTTAGCGTGCACCACGCATCCGTTAAAGGGTATTCCAACATTATTCAGAAAAAAATAATTCCTATTTGTTTTTAATACTGGGAAGTGCAAAGGAAAGTTACGATTAAGTAACATTTTTGCTATTTTTATTATTATTATTACTATTATTCGTACTATTACTATTACTGTTACTATTACTATTATTATCATTATTACTCTTACTACTATTATTATTATTACTACTGCAACTTCTGTTATTATTGTTATTATTGTTATTGTTGTTATTATTGTTATTGTTGTTATGATTGTTATTGTTGTTATTATTACTATTATTATTATCTCTATTTAATGAAATAAAAGGCATAAATTTCATAGGAAAGTATTTCTGGAAAAGGCGAGAATAATTACTTTCTTAGAAACACCGAATCCAAGGCCATTTCGAGATTTTTGTGGCGACTCTAATTCTGTTCAAATAAATAGATTAATGCATAGCTTCTTTGCAGTTTAAAATGATGTTATCGTTTAATGTGATAAATATGTTTATGTAAAACTATATAAATTTTTAACCTAAGTACCATATTTTGTGCAAATGGAACGCAGTGCAGCATAAGAAGTGTATGTTACGTGAGGCGATGCATATATAGATAGCACCGTTGGGTGTCATTCCCTGTTGCTTTTTGTTTTCATTTTATGTTAAAATAAATCTGTTCTTATGGAAACCGTAAAGAAGTAATGAGACTACAGGTAGCTAGGAAGTAAGCCGTTGTTATGACGATCAAAATATTTTATGTTGACTAATTTTTAATTTAAGTTACATATATGAAGGTATCATTCATTCTTAATATTAATTTATTTCGCTATTTTAA